TTTTTATATCGTTCCTATAATTTTCTTCACTTACGACTTCAGTATATGCAGCTTCTGTAATATAATGCAATATTAGACAATGTATATGTTCATTTTAAAATTAAATAAAAATACTAACTGAAAAAAATATGTACTAATGACAACTTTAAATATAATTCCATACAGGTATAAAAGTATACTTACAATTGTTTTGTTACAATTTTTACGTGCAATTTTCCACTGTTTTGCACTATTATTTAATATTTATATGGTTCAGTTGTCTTTTCATTTATTTTAATTAGTTTATTTAATTATTTATAATTAGTTTATATATTTTTATTACTTTTAATAAGCACCATTTATAAATTATTTCACTCGCGATCAGCTTACTTTCGAATTAACGAATGGACTAATTTTGTTAGAATTTCATAACTTGCAATAACTTAACGTAACAAAGAAGAGACAGTAGTCTAGATTACAACGAAATAAAGCAAAGGTAAGCCAAAACGAAAAAAAAAACAGATATATTTAAAAACAAAACATGCAAATATGATTTGAACACCGCTTACGTGTACACTATGTGCATCAACTCCTTTAGTGACGCCTTCTTAGTAAAGGCCTTTTTAAAGTCCTTCAACAAAAGGCATGTGAATTTCATTACACCTTCTGATGGAGTGCTTTTAAAAGGCCTTTTTTTGACAAGGCCTTGAGTATTCTGCTACTGGGTTGTTCTCGAAGTCTTCGAAGTTTAAGTGTAGTGAAAAACTTCGAAGACTTCGAAGACTTCGTAAGCAAAAGGTGAAGTGAGAGCGCAAAATGCAAACAAACGTGCATCACACAAATTATTTGAGGGATGAAAGCATTTGCTTTGTTTGTACGGTTTTATGTTTTTTTTTGTTTGGTATTCTATGCAGAAATTTAAAAACATGTGTTTTTGTTTTATTTTATTACATAAAATTTATTTTATTATTAAAAATGTATTATAATATATATTATTATTAAATATGTTATTATTAAATATTATTTATATTAAATAAAAAATTTACATTTTAAATGACTTATATTTATTATTCATATTTAAAAAATTATATTTACAATAAAAAAATGAAAAATTATTTTTTTATTATGCAAAAAATAAATTTGTGCTTACCTGTGTGTTCATCACAGCTCATACATGTCAAATAATTATGCATTAATGAGCAAAACTCATTTTTACATAACTAATTTTCAAGGTTTTAATTTATGATTTTTTTTTAAAAGAAAAATGAAAACTTTTATTCAATTTCCTTTACTAATAAAATCCATCAATATCAATATTTTCATATTCTTACATATGTATTTTATATTATATTAATATGATTTTTTAAATATAAATAATATATATAAGTTATTTAAAATGTAAATTTTTTATTTAATATAAATACTATTTAATAATAACATATTTAATAATAATATATATTATAATACATATTTAATAATAAAATAAATTTTATGTAATAAAATAAAACAAAAAACCATGTTTTTAATTTTCTGCATAGAATACCAAAAAAAAAGAAAACATAAAACCGTACAAACGAAGCAAATGCTTTCATCCTTCAAATAATTTGTGTGATGCACGTTTGTTTGCATTTTGCGCTCTCACTTCACCTTCTGCTTACGAAGTCTTCGAAATCTTCGTAGTTTTTCACTACGCTTAAACTTCGAAGACTTCGAGAACAAAAATTCACAAAAACTTCGAAGTTTTTTTCAACTTCGAAGACTTCGTTTACTATTCGAATATTCGAATTCTTCGAATACTTCGTAAATTCGAATATGAACAGCACTATTACTTACTGCAGAAAAATGCCTTTGAAAAGGCCTTTTTACTCCTTATTTCTGCTACTGGGTATTTTATCTTTTATCTTTGTGTTAATTTTTACTTTACGATTTTGTTCAATATATTATAAATAAAGATTAACAATCTTACATACATATATAATATATTTATTCGATATTGATGGATAGTTAATAGCGAAAGCCTTTGCTGTAGGTTTGTTGAGAAATTAATTATTTTCGCACATATATTTATTGTACAAACCTGACATTTATTATTTACTCATTTACTTCTGCTCAAAAAGTACTCGGATTTTGTAAATAAAACACACAAATTTAAATGTTATTCCAAATTTATTTTATCTCCTTCAAAATATGCTCCTTCTGAAGCGATACACATATGCCAACGCTTAAACCAAGCTTCCATACACTTTTCGTAGGTCCGTGCAAGTATTGCTTTTAGTTCTTTCAGTGAATTCTCTTTTACCGATTCAATCGATTCAAAACGCTTACCACGAATGCAATTTGAGTTTCGGGAACAGGAAAAAATCGCACGGCGCCAGATCTGGCGAATATGGTGCCTTAGCGATGACAGTGATGCCATGTTTGATCAAAAAAAATCGTGAATGCATTGTAAAAATCGCTAAATGCACTTAAGGTAGTCTCACATTAACAGCTGCTGTAAACAAACTAATTGACAGATAACGCTCAAATTTGTATGATATGTCAAGAAAGGGTGTACCAACATAACATAAAAATTTTTTGAAAAATGTCTACTTAAGGAGTAGTTAACAAACAACAAAATCCGGATACTTTTTGAGCAGAAGGTAAACAAGGATTAAGATTTATTTATTGATTTATTCTTTTACATAAATTTATGTAAGAATATCAATATATTTTCTAAAGAACTTCTGCATTAACTCCACGTGATATAGTCAACCAATGTTTTTATTTGTCTGTTACAGTTACATGGAAAAGTTTCACTCATTTGACATAAACTTGAAGGATTACTTAGCAAAGAAAGCAAAGCAATGACTAATCGTGTTCATACACAAGTAGCCAAGGCTGCACACACTTTCAGTGCTTTTATATAATTTTAAATATAGCTTCTTTGTCACCATATAACGAAAGCGTAGCTTTACCAGCAACAACAATACATGCTTTAAAAAATAGGCAGTTATTGTTAAACTGATCATGACGATTTTGCGATGTTTCCCTGTAATTACTTATATATTTATAGGGTGCCCAAACAAACTGCAACTTTTCAGAATCTCATTTCAGGTGAAATTAAATACTGTTGGGCCAACAATAAAAGATATAGCAAATCAGTTAATAATTTTGAAGTCATTACAAATTTCCAATATAACTACATGTATCGCGAACTATGAATTAAAGATCTTTCGTTAATAAAAGAAGCATTTTTTGAGCAGATTAATACTCTGGTATTTTTTAGTGCCTGCAGTATGTCGAAAATTGACAAGAAAACAGGTTTATGTCTGGTTATCGTGGAGGTCACTGTACCGTCCAAGCGCAATGTAGGAAGTTGTCTTTAGATCATTGTTGGTTATCGTATGATTGGTGGTATAACTATACATAATCTTGCTGAAATACATATTTCATCTCATCGAAAGTTTTGTATGCCCACGGATTCAGAGAACGTATTAAAACTTTTGCGATAAGCCTTCACAATAACCTTGCGACCTCAGTACAAAAATAGTAGCGAGAAATAGGAATCGACCATTTCGATGCAAATCAAAATTCTTTATCCTTGACTTTTAGTGAACATTTGAATAACAATTCTCGTATTATCCCTAAAATATCATTGTTACATAGTGAAATTATTTTCATTAAACAAGTCGATTTTTGATCATTTCTGTGAATATTTTTTTATTAATGAACTAAGTAAGAGTCATTTACAGTTCTTTTTTTAATTATTCGTTGCATAATGGTTTTCAAAGTGTTTAGTTGAACAGCCATATTTCTTCGACTGTAGAACAAACACTGCATCCTAGATAGAGACAGATCTTCTGCCGCAGATGTAATCTTTATTACGATGGACTGTGGTTCGGGACCCGGCGGCGAGTAAGTAAGTCGACTTACTTATGTAGCAAAAACTGCACCGATCAGGCCACACTCATATGCTTAATAGTTACTTCCCACGAACTGCTGTGTACATTTCTGACGTGCGTTTAAACTAAAGTTCTATTATAAATATCGTCGTTTATCTATGTAATAGTTTTTAGCCATACATTTTAGCCATATAGCGATATATAGAAACAAACTAGATGCGAAAGAAAAGAAACTAACAGATATTATGAGAAGAATAAATCAAGTTAAATGTTATAATAAACAAAACATAGCAAACTGAATTATATATACTAGGATCGCCAGTGGTCGAAATTCGACCAATAGAAAATACAATTTATAAACAATATTAATGGTATTTAAATTTTATGTAAAAAATTTGAATAAAATGTGAAGAAAATCTAAAGAAAGTTGTAGAAAACATTTTACAAAAATAAATTAAAACTTATAGTTCAAACATGAACACATTTTATAGTTTATTTTTAAGATTTATTATTATTTTAGAAGATAAGTTTTTAATCTGTATATGTAAGCAAAAATGTTATCCGCTAAATACTATTTGTAAAGGACTGTATTAATTATTTGAATATTCCAGAAAATTTCTATTGTTTACTTAAATGCTTTAAAGATAAAATTTTATTGTTTTTCAATGTTTAATGATTATAGCACAAGCTGTGCACAAATGTAAAATGATAACGCGCATGTGTATCAATAACAAAGATTGTAACCTTTTTTATCTTAGACACACATGCGCCTAAGTATACAGTCCACTAGCTAATATACAGTCCACAACGTAGCGACAACAAATTTAACACTTAGTTTTATGATAAAATAATTGTATAAATACATGTACTAGAAATAAAATAAAGTTAGTAGTTTCAAATTACTGAAAGTGTGTGTACTTTAATTTGTTAAATGTACATTTTGGTCCTTCGAGACATAAAGTGAAATTGAGTACAGTGCGATACAAGCGTGAACCGAGGCTTAAACATCGGTGCCATAAACTAAATATATAGTACAGTGCGATGCAAGCGTGGACCGAGGCTTAAACATCGGTGCCAAAAATTAAAATATAGTGCAAAAAGCATTGATCGAGATTTAAATATCGGTACGGTAAAAAAAAAATGGATCCATCAAAATTATTAGCTCTGCTAAAACAGCAAAGAGCAATATATGACGATGTTAAGAATATCGAGAAGAATAGCAGCAAACGTGAGTTGCGTGCGAATACAATAAAAGAACGTTTAGATAAACTACAAGGATTATGGAATCAATTTAAAGATAATCACGAGAAAATACTCTTAACGGAGAATAAGGAAGACAAATATTTTAAAGAGGACTTTTACACTACAGTGCATCAAAAAGTGATTCAGGTGAAAACAATGCTCGAAGAAATAGTTGAAAGCAAAGATAGAAATGCAGAATCTGTTGAAAGCAAAAGTGTAGACGAGAAAATAACGGAAAGTCAAATTGAGAAAAATAAAATCAACAATCTAGTAGAGCAATATAACAATAACATCGCAAGGTTAAGACAGATGTTAGAAAATCTTGACCATTATGATACTGTCACGCGATTGGAACAACTTAATGGAATCTGGAAAAGAAAGTTCGAAGACATTAGAAGTATCTATAAGAAGCTGGTTATTGAAATGTCGTACAATGAAGTAAACATTATGAATGATTATGATGAGATTGAAGACCAATACGATAAGGCGTTAGATGAATTAGCCAATAAAATGGAAAAATTACGTGAGGGGAACAACGTTAAGTTTGACTGCATTAGAATCCCAAATTTCAACGGTAATATTGAAGAATGGTCGTCTTTTCATGATCTATATAAAAGGCTTATCCATGAGGATGGAAAAATTTCGAATGTTGAGAAACTGTATCGACTCAAAACAGTAAAAAGAGAAGCAAGCAAGCTGATACAACATCTACCGGTGTCGGAATTGAATTATGCTGTAGCTTGGGAGATTTTGTCGCAAAGGTACGAAAATGAAAGAATGTTGTTTACAATATTGGTCGATAAATTGCTCGATCAACCATCTGTATATAATGATTCAGCGTCAAGTTTGAAAAAGTTGCTTGACACATTGATAGAATGTATCCAGGGGCTGAAGGCAATGGGTATAAAAACGAATGAAGCAGATCCAATAATAGCAAGGATTATAATCAGGAAGTTGGATAAGGAAGGATTACGGCTATATGAGCAAAATATAAAAAGGACAAAGGAAATTCAAAAAATGGACGATGTATTACAGTTTCTGGAGCAGCAATACCAAGCAGCAGAGGCGATTAAATCTGAGAAACAAACTAATAATGTAAAGTCTTTTCAAAAAACAACAGCGACAACTATAGTAGCAAATGATTACCAGTGCTTTTACTGCAACAAAAAAGGACATATGGCAATAAAGTGTTATGAGTTTCTAAAGCTACTAGTCAAGGACAAAATTACATGGGTAAAAGACGCTAAAATTTGTCGCGTCTGTTTATCGCATAAAACTACAAAAAGATGCAATAGTAAGACAAAATGTCAAGATTGTGGAAAGTGGCATAATACTCTTTTGCACATTAATTCAGGGCAAAATAATAACACATCAACATTAACAATGGATACGGGCATAGCAGAAAATGTGTTACTTGCAACGGCGCAAGTGCGCGTAAAAAGTGTTCAAGGTGAGATGATTATGTTAAGGGCACTAATTGACCAAGGGTCGCAAACTACAGCTGTATCAGAAGAAGCGGCACAAATATTAAATTTGCCAAGGAAAAAAAGAAAAATGGAGATGCAAGGGCTTGGAGGAACACCGGTTGGCGTTGCAAAGGCAAAAATAAATCTTCAAATTCACCCACGATTCACCAGTAAATATAAAATAAATGCAGAAGCATTAATTTTACCATCATTGGTATCTTGTCAACCGGATAAAACCTTTAGCTATAATATAGATAAGTGGGAAAATATGACCTTGGCGGACCCAAATTTTAATAAATCCGATAGAATTGACATAATCATAGGAAGCGATCTGTACGGAGAAATTCTTGAAGGCGGTCTACTTAAAAAAGATAAAATATTGGCGCAATCAACAAAGTTCGGCTGGATATTATCAGAAAAGTTTTGGGAAATAGAAGAAATTCCAGAGGATGAAGATTCATCGGAAGACGGATATTGTATGAAAAATTATGCTGCGACAACTACCAAAAATGAAGATGGACGATTTGTAGTTGAGTTACCTTTCAAAGAAGAACACCAACTTGGCGACTCATACAAAATGGCGATGGCACGATTCATAAATTTGGAAAGAAAATTACAGGCAAACCCATCATTAAAGAGAGAATATGTCGAATTCATGAAAGAGTATCTAGCTGATGGGCATATGAAAAAAGTAAGTTCAAAAAGACAGGGAAAATATTATCTACCTCACCAAGCAGTAGTAAGAGCGAATAGTATCACTACTAAGGTGAGAGTAGTTTTTGATGCTTCGACAAAGACCACTAATAAAAATAGTTTAAATGATGTGTTATATGTTGGCCCAAGGTTGCAAAGGGATATCTTTGATATATTGTTGAAGTTTCGACTGAAAAAATTTGACATAGTTGCTGACATAGAAAAAATGTATAGACAAATATGGGTGAGTAAAAATAATCAGAAATACCAACATATTTTGTGGAGAAGCGAGATTAATCAGCCAATTGAAGAATACAAGTTAACAACTGTAACTTACGGTATTGCCCCTGCTTCATTTTTAGCTATAAGAACTTTATTTGAAATAGTAAATGAATGTCAGGATAATCAGATATCGAAAATAATTAAAGACGATTTTTATATGGACGATCTTCTAACTGGCGGTGATACAAAAGAAGAGTGCAAAAGTGTTCGGCTAAGGATATCGGCACATTTGGAGAAGTATGGATTTCATTTGAGAAAATGGTGCTCAAACAGCATGGATATAATAGAAACGGTGGAGAAATCAAAAGACAATGAGGTCATTGATATAGATAAAGAAGAAAGTATAAAAACGCTTGGCTTGCAATGGAATCCTAACAATGATATTCATGTTTAAGATAGCAGAAAGTAGAGACGTCTATATAACAAAAAGAATTGCATTATCGTATCTAGGTAAAATATTTTATCCATTAGGACTATTGGCTCCAGTTACAGTATTGGTTAAATTGTTTGTGCAGAAGCTCTGGATAAGTAATTTAGATTGGGATATGAAATTAAATGAAGAAATGACGAAAGAATGGAAAAACATTGTGCAGAACTTAGACGCAATACAAACAATCAGAATTGAGAGATGGGTAGGAGTTACCGAAAATGATGAAATATGCCTGGTGGGGTTCGCTGACGCATCGGAAAAGGCCTAGGCAGCAATAGTGTACATAAAAACGCAAGCAAAGGTGTCCATAATAGCAGCAAAAAGTAAGGTAAATCCTATAAAAAATAGAAAAACATTGCCGAAGCTTGAGCTGTGTGCAGCGCATCTATTGGCAAAATTATTAAATAAAATTCATAACATAATTAACAGAAAAATAAAAATGTATGCATGGAGTGATTCCACGATTACATTATGCTGGATAAAAAGCAATTCAAGCAAAAATAAATTTATTAGGTCAAGAGTAAATGAAATAAGCTCGTTAATTCCAAACGCCAATTGGTTTTATGTGCGATCAAAGGAAAATCCAGCAGACCTAGCATCCAGAGGAATTCAGCCGGAAAAGTTAGAGAACCAATCGTTATGGTGGAGAGGTCCAAACTGGTTAAACGATGATAGAAGGACATGGCCAAAAGAACAAATGGCAGCTAAAATAATAAATATCAGTAAATTAAGAGAGGAAGACTTATTTAATCAGCTCATCGAGAAATATTCATCTTTTAGAAAATTAAGTAGAGTGGTAGTATATATTTTTCGTTTCATAGACAGACTGAGGAAGGCTAAGTCTCCAGAATATCTAACTGTAGAGGAGTTTAGAAGAGCAGATGCAGCTATTTTTAGAAGTCATCAGACAACACAATTTTTTACGGATATAAGCAGATTGAAAAATAGCTGTGAAATAGATCATCGAAACAAAATGGTAAATTTAAATCCGTTTTTAGACAAAAACCAAGTTTTGAGAGTTGGAGGTCGATTAATCAATGCAAAAATTGGTTTTGATAAAAAGCATCCAATAATTATAGCAAAAGGTCATTTGGCGAATTTGATAATAAATGAAGCACACCGAGAAACATTACATGGTGGACATCGATTGATGGAAAATGTTATAAAAAGAAGATATTGGATATTTGGACTTAAAAACTTGATTAAGAAGTGTATACGTGAATGTGTAAGGTGCACCCGTTATAAAGCATTAAAGCAGAAGCAGCTTATGGGTGATTTACCAGAATATAGGGTCAATGTGTCTGCTCCGTTCGCTTATTGTGGAGTAGATTACGCTGGACCATTGCTAATTAAATGTTCTAAAGGGCGACGCCAAAAAACTTTTAAAGGGTACGTAGTGGTATTTGTATGTATGGCAACTAAAGCTTTGCACTTAGAGTTGGTAAGTGACATGACATCAGAATCATTTCTGGCGGCGCTGAAGCGATTGTTTGCACGCAGAGGCAAATGTTAACATATATACTCAGACAACGGTACCAACTTCGTTGGAGCATCGAAAACATTAGATAAGGATTTACAACAGGCTATTAAAAGCAATGTGAGTGCAGTTTGTGCATTGGAAGCAGAAGGTATAAAATGGCATTTCATTCCACAGTCCTCATTTTGGAGGTTTATGGGAGTCGGCCATGAAGTCAATAAAACACCACTTGAAAAGAGTTGTTGGCGAAAATAAACTTACTTATGAGGAGTTAAGCACACTTCTAAACCAAATTGAGGGCATACTTAATTCACGACCGCTTTGTGCAAATGTTGACGACAATGATATATTAACTCCAGGTCATTTTTTAATTGGGCATGCTATCATTGACTATCCAGAAGCAGTAGATGATATGAACATATCTTCATTAAATCGTTAGAAGATAATTCAAGCAATGAAGAAACATTTTTGGAAACGATGGAAGGAAGAATATTTAACGAATCTTCAAGCAAATGTTCAAGGAAGGCCAAGTGGTAATAGTGAAGAATGAGGAAACATATCCAGGAAGATGGCCTCTTGGAAAGATAATTGAGGTTCATCCTGGAAAAAATAATCTGGTGAGAGTAGTATCGGTAAAAACTCAGAACGGCACAATAAAACGTCCGATTCAGAAATTATGTGTATTGGAAGGCGTACACGAACAAATACATGTTGCTGAGAATAAGAAGATAAATGTTATTAAACGAAAAGATTTGAAAAAAGAAAAATCTGTTAATTTAATGTTACTTTTATTGCTAACGATTTTAATTCCATCTAGCGTAGCCTCAGAAGCAATTAAAGGAGGAAAAGTGAATGAGATAGACAAAGACACGGTGGTTTATTTGGACGAAATTGGATCTATGAACGTGGTATCATCATCATAGAAGCTGTTAATATGTTTTGATTTGGAGCCCTTTTTCGAAATAATTGATAAAGGAGGTACAACTATATTGGAAATGGAGAAAATTTGTTCTAAAGTGCAAACATTTGAAAACCATTGTGTGGCAATTATAGAAGACATGAGACAGCAAATAAAGCAGATGCAGGACACAAATAAATATTTGCTTCAATATAAAAATCAAAGAACGAGAAGAGCGCCATTTGAGTTCATCGGGTCACTGCAGCACATATTGTTTGGCACAATGGATGCAGAAGATAGAAAAATGTTCGAAGAAGACATGATGAGATTACTAGAAAATCAGCATGATATCAAGAATCTGATAAATAAGCAAACTTCGGTAATAGATTCTACGGTGAATTTGTTAAAAAGAACCACCACGGAGATAAATAATAATTTTAAACAAATGCAAGATAGGATCAACATCTTGTCGTCGGCAATGCAGGAATCATATTTGGTATATCGGGAGTCAATTAAGTTTTTCATGGTAACAAAAGAGCTGCAGGGAATAATTGAAGAAAACAGAAATGTTCAAACAGAAATAATAGAGCTTTTAATTGACATAAATCATGGAAAATTGAATCCTTCGTTGATAACTCCTACTCAACTGTATGAAGAAGTTAGGAGCATCAAAGAACATCTTCCAAATAAATTAAGGCTGCCAGGAAATAGCGATAATCAGTTGCAAGTTATTTATAAGCTTTTATCGGCAATAGGAATAATAATGGATAAGAAACTAATCATAAAGGCAGAAATACCATTATTTGACACACAAGAATCAAAACTATACAAAGTAATTCCGATGCCTATGGAAAAGCATGGGATAATTTTGAGTCCAATGATACAAAGGCAGTTTCTTATATATAATTTCGAAATGGACTCATACCATTTGATGACGGAAACACAGCTCAACTTATGCAAACACGCCACAGAAGCGGAGTATGTTTGTGAAAGTAATTGGCCATGGCTAGATGCGAATGACTCGTCGTGTGAGATTTCACCATTGAAGCCTTTAAACGTTTATAAATGTACATACATTGAAGAGGAATCATCTCTATATTGGGTAAAACTAAATAATGCAAATAATTGGTTATTTAAAACATTTAAACCAACATCAGCACATATCCAGTGTAATCAAAATCGGCAATTTATTTTAGAACTTCCACAACAGGGAAGAATATCATTGCAACCAGGATGTACAATAAGAATTGAAGATGTTACAATAAAATCACCATTTAATATAAACTCTAATTCGAAAAAGGAAATACCAGCCACATTGACAGCGAAGATAGGGAACCCTACTAGAATTCGTATTCCACCATTAAATTCATTAATATCCAATCACACAAATGAACTGCAAGAGCTTCAGAGGCAAATCAAAGTCATAAAAGAAGAGAATATTAAATTACGTGAAATTAAATATCATCAAATAGCAAGTCATACATCTCTTTTCTTAGTAACAATTTTGATAATAGGTATAGTGATATATTCTGTAAAAAGGAAGCATACGGAACGCGCAATTGCTCGATTGGACATTTTTAACAAGGAGAATCTCTAATATGACCAGACCAATGAACGCTAAATAATCAAACGAGATTGGAATGTAGAATTAGGCCTCTGGCAGAATGTTCAAACATGAACACATTTTATAGTTTATTTTCAAGATTTATTATTATTTTAGAAGATAAGTTTTTAATCTGTATATGTAAGCAAAAATGTTATCCGCTAAATACTATTTGTAAAGGACTGTATTAATTATTTGAATATTCCAGAAAATTTCTATTGTTTACTTAAATGCTTTAAAGATAAAATTTTATTGTTTTTCAATGTTTAATGATTATAGCACAAGCTGTGCACAAATGTAAAATGATAACGCGCATGTGTATCAATAACAAAGATTGTAACCTTTTTTATCTTAGACACACATGCGCCTAAGTATACAGTCCACTAGCTAATATACAGTCCACAACGTAGCGACTACAAATTTAACATTTAGTTTTATGATAAAATAATTGTATAAATACATGTACTAGAAATAAAATAAAGTTAGTAGTTTTAAATTACTGAAAGTGTGTGTACTTTAATTTGTTAAATGTACACTCGTACAAAATCATTTGTTCTGTTTCTGGTTTTGGCTTAATTTTTGCTTGAATGAACAATCGAGTCAAATCGGTCAATTTAAATTTGTCTTCCTATGTGACCACGTATGCATTTGCGAAAGGACGCCAAATAATTAGTATAAAATATTGACGAATTGTTTGAATGAAATATCGATAAAGTCTGGAACTGATGCTCCATTATGAAATCTTTTCATCCAAAGTAATTATCTTAACTTCTGCTGCGTACATTTGTTATTCAGGTGATATCGGAGAGCTGTCGGCATAGGAATCAGCAATTCAATCAGCGTAGAACAGCACCTTCAATTGATCGCGGTTATTATTCAATGAATTGCGTTCAATTTTCAGTTTATCGCGTTTATTCTTTAATGAAGTTACAATTTCGACAATGCGACTTTGCACAACATCTTACTCCGGTCGTAAAATTAGTATCATTTGATGTGAGACCGACATACAATGAATTAAAAGTATCATTTTGTGTTAATAGTGGAAGATGAAGTTTACCCTTATGACAACACATTTTGAAGGAATTTCTTTCACACATTGTAGACTCTGAAGCAAAATGCTTAGGTAAACAATGCCTACAAACCAAATTCATAAAACCAATATGAAAGGGATCAAAATTAGGCGGTATTTCAACCAATGCACATTTGAACGAACTTCGCAAAGAAACTGAATTATTATCAAGATTATTATTAACTTGAATTAAATATAAATTTGTAGTATTAATTATATTCCGTGTTCTACTCAATTGCATATTTTCTCTATTTGTTTTTGTCTCTGTACAGATTAGCAATAAACATCAGCTACTGAACATACAAATTACGTTTACAATTTTATTCACAAATTGAAAGTAAAGAAACAAATAAACTCGCCAAAAATAAAGAAAGCAATGGGATATCGTCAAATCACACGAAGAAATTATCTCTCGAATGTCGATTCAACCAACTAATTAATCTTGGAAAAAAATGGTAAAAAATTTAACTATCACACAATCCACTTGAAATTAATCTAAAAATTTTAAACTCACCAAAATAAAACGAATGATATCAAAGGGTATTTCCACTTCAATGTGTTTTTTTTTCACAAACAATACTTGAAATTTAATGTGCATTAAAAATGTAATTGTAACAGAATTCAGTTATGCAACACGGAAAGTCCAAACATAAAAGTGGAAAAAAATTGGACACACAAATTCATCGTAAACAACACTCAATTCGCTACAAAAACAAAAAACATTCAAAAACACATGTATTTTGTTGTTGTAGTCACTAAATTAGCGCCAACGCATTTTTACCTGTGTTTCACCTGTGTTTAATGTACATGCGAAAAAATAACGTTATGCACTTCTGCACGTCTTCACCTTTCCAACGGTATAAATTTTATCCATATATGTCAACGGCAACACAGTTAAAAAGGGAACACAAACTTTTTTGTTAGCGTAATTATATATAGATAAAGATAATATAAAATATGTTTCATTATATCTATACAAAATAGATAATATTAATTTCTTAAACATTGTAATTATTATAATTATTATAAGTAATTATTATAAAAAATGCTATCTTTTTAAAAGTAATTAAATCATTGCAGATAAAAATATACAACAATAAAAAATTTGGATTTAAAAATTTGAACGCTTGTTTTGGTGTGGTCTTGAGATTTCCCTGCGGTTTCGTTTATGTTACATCCACTGTTGAAAAATACTGGCTTTAAGTATTTTTTCTAAATTCAGAGGCTAGAAAAAAGTTGCAGTCCGTCAAAATTGTTGAATAGGGTGGATGTGACATATTGATAAAGTATTATATTACAGAAGAAAGTCCTAGAAAGTCCTACATAGAAAGTCCTAGTGAACGGACGTATTTTTAAGCCGGTCTTGGTGAATTTTAAATTGCAGTTTAAAATAAGTAGATAACACGTATTTTTATGGGAATTGTTTTGTTATTGACACAGAAACACAATTATTTTTTAAAAATAAA